CTACAGGAATGCAGAATTACTGTTAGTGTAGACAGAGGCAGTTTTAGCAGTTCCTATTTGGCCTTTTCTACCATGATAGCCCCACTCCATAGGTCAAAGAACCTGTGGGAGGGTTCTTCCTGTTGCTCGGTGCCTCTGTTCCAATTACAAACCCCAGAATTGGGAAGATAGCCAGAGGGTATGTTCAGGGCCCCACTGGGTAGATCTGAGTAAAACTCCATGATCACTTGACTTCCAAAAGCCGCTGTTCTGATTAGTGAACCACACTGATGCTCAGGATCTCCAGGAATCAGTGTTAATTCAGAGCCAGCATCCAGGAGTCACTGAAAAGTCTGATAGGATACAAATGAACTCCAGCACTGCAGCGTTCAAAAAAAGCAGAGGCAGTGATGAGTGACATTCGTTACAGCCAAGAGTCTTGATTCCATTGGTAACTTCAACTTGGTAAAGCATCATTTGACTCCGCCAGGCACTTGCCAGGGACGGAAGCCATGAAGGCATAGCAGGTTGTTCCCTAGTGGGTGGGCAGAGGGACAGGTCAGCACAAAAGCTCCACCCTGAAATGACCCAGGATGGAGCCCTATCCTACTCGGGACTTTTATTGACCACTTGCAGGAAGTGATGTAGGCTGAAATGATCTGTTTCCCAGAAATACCCACGAAGCACACTTGCTTTTTTGGTTTGTTTGCTTGTTTCTTTTTTCAGTACCAGGAATTGAACTCAGGACCTTGAGCTCCCCAGGCAGGCACAGCCACACTTGCTGACACTAAGAAAACTGGGGATAAATCGTTTTCAAAAGTCTGGAGGCAGAAGCAGGCAGTATCAAGAGGGAAATTGGCTTGAGGATTTGGAGATGTGGAGGTGGCTGCACAGTTACCCCTCCCTGGCTCGCTGGGTGGTCTAGGGTTCGAGTTTCCACTCCTTGGAGTCTTGTATTTGCCATCTGTGTTGGAAGAAGACATTCCCCACCTCATGGTTCAGTCAGTAGCATGGGTTATGCTTTGAGATTCTCAGGACCTCACCTTATAGTCGTGCAGTGCACATGTGCATGCTATAAAGATGGAATCCAGAAACACGTGTACAGTGGGCAAACGCTCTACCATTGAGCTACATCCCCAGCCCTTTTTCAATTTTTCATTTGGACATAAGCTGTCACAAAGCTGGCCTCGAACTCAAGATATTCCTGCCTCACAAGTAGCTGGGGTTACCTGCATGTGGCACCACACCCACCTCGCCCTATTGTTCTTTTTTTTTGGCTTAAATTCTTTTATTGGTACACTTTAGGTATGCAGTACATTTACATTCATCATTGGGTGCATGTACCCATACACAATGCATCTTGGTTCTTATTTTTTCCCCATTCCCTGCCCTCCCTTCACCCCCTCCACCCTTCCGTATTTACAGAGACTTTGTTTCCATTTTTTTTCTTTTCTCATAATTTTTCCTTTCCCTTCTTTCCTTTCCCCTTCCCCTCCCACTTCCCCTACCCCTTTGGTCCTTTTCTTCCTATTTCAAATTATCAATTATTCATTTTAATCATTTTCATCCTTATTTACACTTTCAGTTTCTCACACTAGAGAAACTATTCAGTATTTACACATGTGTGTCCTATTTATGTCACTTAAGAGTATGGCCTCAATATGCATCCACTTAGGTGTAAATGTCTCTAGTTTCTCATTCTTTATGGCTGAGTCGTACTCCATTTTATAAAAAACCACGTCTTCTTTTTCTGGTCTCCAGTTGATGGGCACTTGGGCTGCTTCCAGACTTTAGCTATTACAAACTGTCCTACTACTGCTTTTAACAGGGGTGCCCTGCCCCTTCACCTTCTACCAGGGTTTCTCAGACTGGACATTATTGGCATTTGGGGCCAAATAGGTCTCATCGTGGAGCGGGCCTGTGCCTTGTACACTGCTTGGCCTCCCGCGGTACCTGCGTACCTCAGACAGTGACACCGTCTAGAGGGGAGATGTCCATTCTCGCAGTCTCTGTGTGCACATTTGTAAATAAGGAGATGCGTCTGGGGCTCCAGATTCCTCCATGCATTTGCTCATTAATGCCACCATGCAGGAAAACTGTTCTCAGTGTGGGCTCCATGCCAGGCCTGAGACATACTATTTTTGTTTTTAAAGCTTTCTATTTTAATGTCAGATGATGCAAGTTTAATTACTCAAATCATATTTGAACAGGTTGTTGTTGGCATATAAATTTGGTTTTTGTTTGTTTGTTTTGCAGTGCTAGAGATGGAGCCCAGGGCCTTGAACGTGCCAGGCGGAGCCATGCGCTCACTTGCCTTTGCAGTGCTTTGACCAATGAGATCCTGGACATTAGTCTGAGATGGATCTTTAGGACATTAAGGAGATGCATACTTTTCCTAGTTTGCCAAGACTTCTTTTAAACTCAGGAACGTATTTTGTCACATTCTCTTTGGCATCTCTTGAACTGGTGTCATATATTTTTCTTTTGATCTACTTTCAAGTTGCGACTTGGTAGCCTCTTGTGTTAGCATCTTTGTTGTGGTCACGGTGCAGCAGTGGCCACAGGCGAACGTGCTTCTCCGTGGGGCTGAGCAGACATCGGGCCTGGAGGAGCTGGGCTCGCCCAGCGGCTTCCCAGCCACGACTCAGGCTCAGGAGTAGAAGAGGGGGAGGACTCATTAAGTGAGCTTTTTGCTTCAGGGGTATGGAGGCCAATGCGAGAAAGCCATGGGCCGAGGCCATCGGTGAGCTAGCCACAGGGTGGCTGGGCAGGTGCCTGGATCCAGGTGCCTGCGGGTTGTCGCACTGGCCTACTACTTCAAGCTGCCCACAACCTGCTCTGTGTTAGGGGCCTGGACTGGCTGCTGACCAAAGGCTGGCCTGCAAAGCCCACCTTCGTCTCTATTCCCCATCCCAGGGCATTCTCCCCTTCTCCTGGCTTCTTGGCTCTCCTTCTAGCACCTTCCATCTACCTGCCCCAGGCTCAGCTTATCATTTCCTTCCTCTACTTGCAGTTCACTGGATATGGCAGTCAACCTTTCATTACTGTAACAAATACCTGGGGCAATCAACTTATAAAGCAAAAGGGTTTATTTTAGCTTCCGGTTTCCGAGGCTCCATCCCGGGTTAGCAGCCTGCACTGATTGTCTCGGGCCTGTGCTGGGACATTATGGCAAGGCCCTGTGTAGAGCCGAACCTCTGACCTCCTGACTGGGCAGCAAAGGAAAAGAAGAGACAGGGTCCCCTGACCCTCTTTCAAGAGCCAAGCTGGGAAGCAGGCCTATTGGAGGACACAAGAGGCAGACCCCAGCCTGGCGACTTCCCACAGCTGCTCCCTGAGAGGTGAGCACCACAGTGCAAAGCCCTCCCTCTGGCCATCATCTGTCCAGCCCAATCCCACTTGCTGACCCCAGGGCCCCATCCTGGAGCCCCAGAGTCCCTGCGGTGGGTTGGCTGCCTGACTCCCAGGGACCCAGCTTTGGCATCCCTGCCCCTGACCACCCCCGCATCCGTTGTCTATTAATGCACCTGTGACTTCAGTTATTCCTGGGAGGACAAGCTGCAGTGCTTGGGTATCTTCTTCTCCTGAGGGTTTGTGTTTGTCTGCTCAGGGCACAGACAGAGACGTTCCTTTCATTACCTTTGTGGGTTTCAGCCTTGGGGTCTTTCCAGCTTCCCACCTGGCTTGGGCCACCTGTATCCCTCTTCCTCTTTGCTCAGACTTAGTTTCCTTCGCCTAAGTGCTCCTGGCACACATTGTGACCCTGAGTCATGCTGACCCAGCCTACTCCCCAGGTATCTGTCAGCTGCTCTAAGGAACTGGGGCTTGGTAGTTCACTGAGCATTCACCCCTCACACGGAGTCAGCCATAGCCTATTATTTTCTCACAGGTTTTATGTTTTGTTTTGGGTACTAGGGATTGAACCCAGGGCCTTCATATTGAGCTATATCCACAGCCCTTTTTTTATTTTTTAGTTTGAGCCAGGGGCTCACTTATTCCCCAGGCTGGGTTCGAATTTGTGATTCTCCTACCTCAGCTTCCCAGAGTGCTGTGATTACAGGTGTGTGCGGCCACACCTGAGCTCTCTCAGGTTTAGGAACAGCACCCACCCCTGAGGTTTGAGGCCCTTCTTGCCCCTCCATGTGCTCTGCATCCAACTGAATGGAGTGGGGTGAGCAAGCTGGGGTGGGAAGTCCGCAGCGGCAAAAGGGAAGGAGAGGAGGAGGCAGAAAATTGACTGTCACTGCAGTCCAGGGAGGAGGGGTCCCAGGGACACAAGGCCCTGACCCTGGCTGGTGGGTGGTGGCAGCAGCCTGCTGGAGTCTGAGAAGAGACACTTGTCATGAAGGAGATGCACAGGGGACCCCAGGCCACACATGGTGTCCGTGGCCAAGAGGGACTGGATTGGGCAGCTTGGCCCCAAGGGTGGGCTCAGGGCCTGAGCGAGCCATGGCCGTCACCCAGGAATGCAGGGCCGGGGTTTGGGGTACCAAGGGCACTCACACCCTGCCATGCCAATGTGAAAGGCACAAGTCCCACCCCTCACCATGCTGCCCCTCCAGGAAGCCCCACAAGGTCTGCATGGAGTCCTCAGGCTCCAGGAGTCCTGACCCACTCTGGGTGACGGGGACCGCTGGCCCTGGGTTCAGGAGTCCACACAGGGACTCCACTGCTGGGGTGTGTGTGTGTGTGTGTGTGTGTGTGTGTGTGTGTCCTCTTGGCTCCCCAAGCCCACCCCATCACCCTCCTGCCCATACTCCATCCAAGCCACCCACAGCCAGCCACATCCAGGGACACGGTCATCTCAGGACCCTCCGCAGGAGGAATTCTGGGTTCTTGGTACCCAGAGTGTGGCCCGGAAGGGGAGGGGCCGCCGGGCCTGTGGGCCACTCAGGGACAGCTGGATCGGGGCCCAGCAGGGCCTCAAAAGCAGGGACCCAAACCCATGGCCTGGATCTGAGGCCAGCACCAGAAGGGGACGAGTGTGTGTAGGCGCCGCTGATGAACCAAGAGACAGACAGTTAGAAGCCCTTGTTGTTTATTTTGCAATAAACAAGGTTTTTTTGCATTGTCTGGACTTTTGGTAGGCGGGAAAAGCTCAAAAGATCACCAAAGACATCTCTTTGTGAACATTTTGGTTACAGATTATCAGTACCCCTCCTCCTCTCTCAGAATTTGGGTCCGAGTAGAGAATGCGCCTCAGCTCTCCTTTAGCTCCTCCCTCGTAAACTGCACACCACACCAAGTGCCCGAGGGCACCCGAGCAGTCAAATCCCGACACTCTCAGCAGATATGGTTGCCCATTGAGTATGGAGTGAGCCATTTCTGCGCGACGTGGAGACAGAGGCGAGATGCTAGCACTGCTCCTGCGGCACTGGGGTGGGCGCTGTGAAATTTGGGTGGGGCGGCCTCATCGTGTGCTGGCTAGAGATCTTGTGTCACGTGGGAAGGATGGTGGCATTCGAAGGGAGACGTCTGCTCAGGACTCTCCGCTCCCACGGCATTTTACCTGCACTGCGCTCGGCTCCCGGGGATACCTGCGTGGCCGCCCCCGTCCCAGACTGTCCCCCTCAGTCTGCACATCCCACGGCTCCCTGCACTCTCCCTCGCACGTGCAGCAGGTGCTTGGAAATGCTCCCTGACCGGATGGTGGTGGAGGGTGAGGTGGTGAATGGATGAGCAGTCCTCACAGGAAGGCAGCCGGGCCTCACGCCCTGGTCACCAGGTGACCCAGCTACTCCCTGCCACGTGAAGAGTGCAAAGAAAACATGGAGTAGAGAACCAGATTGGTGCATCCAATTGTCAAATTTTGCGTTGGGGAAGCCAAGGACCAGAATGGTTAGCACTCCATCAACGCCTCACGTTGAGAGCGGCCAGGCAGCGTACCAGATGACCACCCGGCACAGCGAACAATGCTTTTTTTTTTTTTTTTTTGTCTTTTTAAGTTTTTTATTTCTTAAAACAAACTCAAAAATGAGATGGCATGGTGGCTTGACTTAGTTGGGGGGAGGGTCAGCAGAGAGGGGGTGGGGAGTGGGGTCTGGGCAGAAGGCAAAGGGCGGCTGGGCTGAAGTGGGGAGGGGCTGGGGTGAGGCTGGAGGGTGCAGAAGACCGGGATCTGGGAGCCAGGGGCTTGGGGTTGGGCGGGGACTTGGGGAGAGTTGGGGCAGGCTCTGAGTCGGGCGGACAGCGGACCTGGGGTGTGGGGTGGGAGTGATAAAGTCAATGCCTATGTGATGACAGTGGCGCATGACCCATGAGTGGTGAGGTATGAGTGCAGTGGCTATGAGCTGATGACTGTGATGGTAAGGTGACTATGGCTTGCAGCGAGGTCAACACGGCACGTTACTTACTCCGTAAAGCTAAGAATAGAGATTCTTATCCAAAAAATTTAAGAAGCAAAATATAACTAACTGGTACCCAAGGGCTGTGTAGCTGGCCAATCCTAAAAGGAGTTAGAAAGCTACACAGAGCTCTGTCCCATTTCTTTCTGTTTTTACAAAAAAGATAGATTACTCTCTTTAAAAAAAAAAGTCCAATTCATAATTCAGAAGCTGGATAGATCTTACAGGATCTGAGGAGTCTTAGCAACACAGACACAAACCCATGGCTGTGTAGACCAGGGCTCGGGCCACTGTGACCACAGGACAAGAAAACACCCCACAAGCAGCTACTTCCACGGCAGTCTGTGAAAACCTCGGTGAGGGCAGTGTTGCTGCTCAGATTCTGCCAGGGGCACTTACGGTCAAGGTGCACTTAAATCTCAGAGACATCTCTAATCTACAGGGCAGGAGCTCCACTGTAGGCGAGGGGTCGGGCGGGCCCAAGGTAGGAGTGGGGGCCAGCTGCCCACGTGGCAGCTCCAAATGGCATGTTACACCTCAAAGGGGCCAACTTCTCCCACGTGGGGAGTGAGCCAGGAGGCTCCCGCTTTGAGAAAAGCAGCTAGGGTCATCTCCAACATCAAGTGAACTTCCAGGATAGGCCAAAACCTTTGGATCCCAGGCTGGGACTTGAAATTGGTCAGGCCCTATGCTCAGGGTCAGGACATGTTTTGGTAGCTACGCTTTGTTCCTAATTCTGAGTTCTAGGGTCAGAGAGGACCTTGATGGTGAGAGTTCAAACCCCTCCTTCGAGAGGGACCTGATAGTGGGCCCGGGACTGGGATGGGGACTCGCCAAGGATCATACAGCGAGTTAGTGGCAGGGCTGGGCCAAGGTCCCAACCCCCTAGCTGCCAACCCGGGGCTCTCTCTGCCTGAAACACAAACCGCTGCACTCTGAAATCTCAAACCAATCAGAAAGATCTAAAAGGTTGCAGTGGAGCTGGATGTGAGTGCGAGTCGGATGTGACACGTGAGAATTAACGAACGAAAGAGATTTTAGTTTTTCACAGTGAGCGGTCATGCACAGAACTTGTAATGGTTGCACAAGGGCCCTGTGTTCGAGACCCCTGGGTCAGGGGTGTCGGCACTGGGTCCTGGTTCTTTTGCCTTGTTTTTTTTTTTTTTTTTGGTCTTTTTGATATTTTTTGATCTTAGAGTTTAGAATAACATACTTATATCTTTTACTTGTTTAGAGATGAAATTCTTATTTTTCTTATTATTTATAATCATGCATTAATAGAGTAAGAAGGATTTGTTTAGCATTGCGTTTGTCACACGGCAACACAAAGACAATATATGTAAGCATAGCGTTCACCAGATTCGACACAAAAGATAGCAAATTCCACCACAAAGATGAGCACAGACCGCATATGGTGAGCTCTGCGGAACCCCGAGAATAAAGAGGGGCCCATGGGAACGCTACTTAGATCTCCTCCTCGCCGGCCTCCCTGTCGAAGGTGGTTGCGTTGACCCTCTCGGGGAAGATGATGTTCACCGCCATGTCTTCCCCATTGTGGTAGTGCAGCAGCAGGTTCTTCTTCTTGCGCAGCATGTTGTTGTAGCGCAGGTTGGACACCCAGGTCTCGCATTTGTTGATGAAGATGATGATCACGGTGCCCAGCACCACCAAGCCGGTGAGCACGCCCAGTATGGTGAAGCAGACGGCCTGGCCCTCGGTGAGGAGAGGGGTGCTCTTGTTGAGCTGCTTCATGGATACCTTCAGGATGCGGTGCTCGGGCTGCGGCAGCGGCAGCTCGTGCACCCCAGGGGTCACACGATAAGACAGGCCGTAGCCCCTGGGAACCTGTAGGGTGCCCGCCTCGCGCTTCTTGGCGCAGGTGGGGCCTGTGAACGGGGGCTTGCACAGACACTCGTAGCTCACCTGGGTGTGCTGCAGGCAGGTGCCCCCGTTCAGGCACGGGCTGCTGGTGCAGGTGGTCACCGGACGGCTGCAGGTCTTGTCGATGAAGCCAGCCGGGCAGCGGCAGCGAAAGTCGCCCCCGATGTCGGTGCACACGCCGCCGTTCTCGCACGGGTTCGGGGTGCAGCTGTTGGCCACGATCTCGCAGAAATTGCCTGAGAAGCCAGGGGGGCACAGGCAGGAGGCATGGGAGGCCCGGCCCTCATCGTCCACGCAGGTGCCTCCGTGCTGGCAGGGGGAACTGAAACAAAGGACAGGTGACAGGCCCTCGGGGGCTGGGCAGGGACAGGCTCAACTCCTCCTCCACAGTCTTGGCCTGACACTCACTGGGCAGGTGCTCAAGACTCATCAGGTGAGGGCGGGACAGGGAGGGCCAGTCCAGGGGTCACCTGCGCGGGGTGCCCACCTCACCCTGTCATGGTGCCAACCTGGCACAGACCTGACTCCCGTGGCAGGAAGCCCACATCCACTCCCACCTCTCATTTCATGTCTCCAACCAGAGCACTGATGGCCAGTCACTAGAGGGGAAACCGAGGCTGGGGGAGCAATCATTAGTCAGAGCCCAGATCTGGAACGAGCCCCCTCCCTTGAGCTCCCTCCGGGCCCCTGAGGCAGAGCCAAGCAAGGCAGGCCCCACTCACCTCTCTGGGGACCTGCTGCCCCTGCAGTCCTGCCTGTGGCCCCGGCCCCACCCCACCCCTTATGATAATTTTTGTTTCTGGTGGCGTGGGCCCGGGGGCCCTTATGATGGAAACCTTCAGGGTTGTGCCTGGGCCATGGCAAGCCAGTGTCTGGGGCTGGCCGTTTCCTGGGGGTCCACTCACCCAAGCGCAGCTTGCAAACCCAGGCTATTTGGACCAAGCTGAGCACAGGCATTTAATGTAAGAGCTTTTAAATGAGCAGGCCCTTTGTCATCTGATAAATGCCAAAACTCCGGGGGAAGAAAGGGGCCATAAACCCAAGACATCAGCATTGCTGCCTGGGGGTGAGGATCAGGGCCCCGGAGGAATTTCAAGGACTCCAGACTCTATTTTGACAGACTCCTTCAAGTTTGATAGAGAGAAGAGCAAAATATTTTAAAGGTCTTGCTCTGTTTTTCTCTCCCGCTTGCTAATAAGTAGCAGTGAGGTTCCACTGTCACCCCCCCCACCCTCCTCCCTTCTGAACACTGATCCCTGGTGCCAGCCTCTGCAGCCTCCTGGATTTGCTATGCACCCAGGGAGGGGCCAGGGCCACATGAACTGATTTTGGAAGGACTCCCAGGACCGAGTTCTCGCTCCTGGATTCTTAACTCAGGCTCTGCCTCTGTCACCAGCCATCCAGGGAGGACTCGGGGCAGCAGGCACCAACATAAGGTGGGGCCAGGGATGAGCTGGCAAGAGCCTCTTGGTCAGAAGTCGCAGGGGCCCTTCCCCACTGAGGGTAGTTGGGGCTGGCCCACTTCCTGGGCCGGGGCAGCTCCCCCCGCAGCCATCCCAGACACCCAACCACAGACCCCCCCCCCAAATCCCCCAAATAAACAGCCCGCAACGTGGTACGGGGCTCACAAACACCCTACCCTGCTGAACTCTGATCTATTATTATGTTGCCTTCAGAAAATTATGCAGCCCAATCTACTGCCATTCACAGGCATCAGACTTGGTAACACCAAGGGAATAGGCAATCACCTCAGGGATCATTTGAAAACATTATGGAAATGACACTCCCCCATAAATGCCCCAGCTCCAGCAGCCCTGCGGGCAGCCCCTAGCACTTGCGTCTTCTGTCAGGCAACAGGTCCAACAGGGTCAGGCTGAAGGTGGTTTGGGGGTGAAGAGCCCCACAGCAACCCAGAGTGGGAAAGAGGATTTACCCATTGATCACGCAGGGCCCGTCCTTCTTCTGGCAGCCCTTCCCCGAGTGCCCAGGAACACAGGCACACTCATAGTGGCCACTTCCAAGGTCCATGCAGGTGCCATTGTTGGCGCAGGGGGTCGAGGTGCAAGCACGGACATCTGAGGGACAGAAAAACCTGGACTTCAGCTTCTCCTCCGTGTGCCAGTGTGACAAGGACCCTAAGTGGGCTGCAAAATGGCCCTGCTCATGACTTCTAAGTGGGGTTCATAGAAGGGGATACAGTGACCCCCCCAACAAAAACCCTGAAGTGCTAAACTGGGAGTGGGGAAGCAGAAGGCTTCTGCCTGTGTAAGGTCGAATCAGAAAGCCACGGCCACAGATCTTCAACATGGGACAGCTGAACCCTTTCCTGGCACCCTGAAGTCTGGCAACACATCCGTGACCTTCACAGCAGATGCCATGGCCTTCCCCAAGGGATTCCCTAGTGCCTGTCTCCCCTGGCCCCTCCAGCTGCCCATGTTTAGGGCCAAGGTCCCTGCCCCTGCCTTGGAGAACCCCTGTCCAGCCTGCCCCTAGCGATTTCAAGACCCCCTGTGGGTTACTGAGAAAGCTGCCCTCACCACCCCCTGGTCTTTCTGCTCTCAGGTTTTGAACTAAGGGGTCCAGGATGAAATGGCAGCATCTTTTGAAGCCAGCAAAATGAGAACTATTGAGTGCTCTCCTGTCTGTGTGGGTTTCCGTGAACACGGGTTTATTTCCACCGCCTTTTCACACCTCCCGTCAGCTGGCTTCATTATTCGGGCTTAGCAAGCCGGGGATGAGCTGCATAGAGGGGCCCAGGCCAGGGTCTCTCTGACGGGGGAGACCTCAGCTCCCTGGCAGTGCCACGCCCCAGCCTACTGCTGTGTGGCAGTGAGTTCAGCAACTCCCCACTCCGTGCCTCAGTTTCCCTCCTCCTAAGAGGAAAGGCTCTCTATCCCGAGTTTTCTATCATTTGAGCTGCTGCACCTGCTAAATCAATAGAAAGCCAGGGCCAGCCAGAGACAAGGCAAGTCAAGGAAGGCTGGCAGGGGGTGGGAGGTGGATTTTCCCCCCTTTTCCAAAAGACCCACACCCTTGTGGAGGGAGACTGCAGTCCATCAAGGAGCAAACGTCTGAATGCCACACTGATGGACCCTGCGGGCTCCCGGCATGGTCCAAGGAGACATAAAGAGGATTTATCTTTACGGGACAGCATTGGCAGAGTGCTAGCACACGAGCCTCCGCAGCAGGATCCTAATTCTCCGCTCCTGGCTCTCTGGTCACTCGGAATCTTAAATTTAAGCTAAAGAGCTGGTGACCACCCCCACCTGGCCCTTTCCCCAAAACACCAAGTCTCGTGAGCTGTCAGGCTCCTTTGCCCCCAACCCAAGTCAGGGGTGGATTAAACTGTGGCAAAGGGGGGCGGGCTCTGCCACAAAGGCAGCTGGGAGGGTGCTGGCAACAACCCTGAGGGCTGTCCCCTCCCTGGGACCCCAGACTGGGCAGGCAGTCACCCCCAAAAGCCAGCCTTTGTCAACCTGGTAGGGAGGGGTTGTGTGGAGGGCCCGAGAGGAGGGGGCTTTTGTCTGGAAAAATCCTCCAGGGTGTAAAGAGGGTAGGCTCCAGGCTAAAAGCCTCGCCCTGATCCCAAACTAGCTCTGCGCTGCTGCTGCAAGGGGCTGCAGAGCTTTGGGCCAGAGCATGAGTCAGCTGCAGACAAGCCTGTGCCATGGTGGGTGGGGGAGGACCACGTGGGGCAAAGGCCCTTCTGCTTCTCTGAGCCTCACTTTCCCTGTTTGTACCACCTGTCTCTGCAACCCTGGGGCAGCTACCTACACTGCTGCCACGGCTGCTGGCAGATTTTTCCAAGACTTTCATTTGCCCAGTCTTTAGGGCAGTGTTTGCCAAATGAGAATGGGCTCCAACGAGCATTTAGCAGCCTGGAGATGCAGCGACAGCCAACTCTCAATTGCTCAGGGTAATGGAGAACAAAGATGGCATAAATTAATGAAATCAACAGATAGCATGAACCTGCTCCTGAGCCCCTCCTCAGCCTCTGGCTCCTGCCACACCGGCCCTTGCTGTGGGGTGTGTACCACTCTCCTGAGGCCCAGATGCCACACCCACCCCTCCCTGTTGGTGGCTGGCCTTTTGCAGCCTCCTTCGTCTTTCCAGTGACTCCCTGGCATCTAAACCCTGAGATGCCCAAGTCCTTCCTCATGGCTGGTTGTACTCAGCGATCTACACAGGTGCCTGGAGTCTGTGCCCCACCAGCTCAGTTCTGTGTGTATTGCATGTTTATTTTGTGCATCTTTATTCAACAGGCAGGCCCAGGCCCCATGTCACTGGGTGCTGGCACGGCAGAGGTGAGCAGACCAAAGTCCCTACCTATGAGGAGTTCCCTGGAACCAATAGGCAATGCATGAACAGATCTTTACAAGAGAGGGCCCTGGGGGTGTGGGGACAAGGCTGGGGGGAGGGGGGCAGCCACCAGGCCCGGGCGGGCAGGCAGGAGAGGGAGGTGGGCAGGGGCAGTGCCCACCTATATTGCAGAGTTTGCCATCCCAGCCATCCTCACAGATGCACTCCCCGGGCTCTTCACAGTGTCCATTCACACAGCCAGAAAAGGTCACGCACTGGTCACACAGGTCACCCTGCCAGCCAGGCTGACACCTGTAGGGAGGGGCAGATGGGGACGTTTGAAGGGCTCTGGTGGACAGGGGGCTCAGACTGCTTTCTGTATACCAAGAGCCTTTGGGGGATCCTTGCTCAGGGCCAGGCCAGTGGGTCCCAGGAACATCCACCAAGCCACCTGCGTGAAGAAACTCAGAGGGAATAGGCTGAGGGCCGGGCACCGAGGGCCCTGAGAGCTGAGGGAAACTGCATTTTGCCGAAGTGGCCCACAGAGGCCCCTCACCTACACCCCACCCCGACTCCCCCCAGTCTTCTGCAAGGAAGCTGTGTTATGAAGCAGCACAGTGGCCAAGGCCCCTCCCCTCCAACCTGACTCCTCCCTCCCCAGGACTGTGTGGCCCCCACCAGCTGGCCCTGAGGACCACACTGTTACCTGCACACATCATCAACGCAGAATCCATTTTTAGGGTCGCAGACCGGGAGGCATTCAGCTCCTGAGGCACAAGAAAGGTTACACAATTCACCCCACAAGGTCCCAGGACCTGGGGCAAAGCCCCTCCTGGAGCCCCCTCGCCCCTGGGGGACCCATCATCCCTCTTGGGTCACACAGCCCAGCACCCACTAGGCCCTTCTTATCTGTGACGCATGTAGCTGAACCTACGCAGCAAAAATTCTCTGCCACGTGCCTAGCTCTGGGACCACTACAGAACACTGTGTAGTTTCCAAAAGCAAGACAGGCACCTTTCCCCACCAAATAAAAACACCAAACCTCAAATCCCCTGAATGTGGGGATTCAGGGGCAGTAGGAGGAGAGCTGCTGACCCCAGCATTCAGCCAAACCCTCACTTCCGCAAAGTGAGCCAAAAGGGGGGTGCAGATTTCGAGGTGTTCTTCCCTGGGAAAGCCTAGTCAGGTTCACGTGACCAGCTCCCAGGTAAGGCGTCTAGGGTTTGGGGGTTTTTTTAAGGTTCATTCCGTCAAACCAGGTCACATTTCCAACATTCCCCCAGCCCACTCTCTTCACATTAAGAGGCAAACGCAAGGGTTTGCAAAGCCAGCTGAAATTCCGACAGTTGAGGATTCTGACGCTTTAACTGGCACCTGCTGTATGCATTCACTCCACCAGCTCCCAGCCTCCCGGGCAGCCCCCCCACAGCCACTGGCGCAGTGGGGGCGGGGAGCGCTGCCGGAAGGGGCAACTCTCCGCCGCCAGAGACAGATGGCCGCCGCAAACAGGAGTGTCGCAGCCCCTCACCTAGAGACACGCGCCACGCAGGAGCGGCCCGGCCGGGCTCCTGTTGCGAATCTGGGGCTACGACGGCAAAGTCACCTCACAACGTCCCGCTAGGCCTGCTCCCGAGCGCGCACTCAGGGATACCCCCAAAGTTGCACCCCTGATCGCCGTCACGCAAGACCTCCCCGCATCGCCTCGTTTTCTCCATCCCTCCCTCCTCACCCCAAGAGCAGGCGCCACATGCGCGGCGCGGGAAGGGGCCGGGGTCCCGACCGCCTCGGAGCCCTCGCCCTCCCGGGACCCCAGGGCAGCACCGGGCGCGGCAGGGCCGAGCGGGGTGGCGCGGGGCTTGCTTAGGGTTAGGCGGGACGGGCGGAGCTGGGAGCACGGGACGGGCGCGCGGGACACGGGCGGCCGCGGGCGTCGCAGGCTTCCCCAGAGGGGGCGCGACCGGGCCGCCGAGGGGCTCACCAGAGGAGTCGGGGCCGAAAGCCAGCAGGAGCAGCAGGACGTGCAGGAGGGCTGCGGTCGCGGTCATCGCGGGGCGGCCGGGGTCGCGGTCCCGGGAGAGGCGCGGGGACAGGTCCGGCTCCGGGCGCCGAGCTGGGCTTCTGGTTGCGGACGCTGAAGGGGGCGCGGGCGCGCGACGAGGGGAAAGCCAGGGCTGCTCGGGCCGCGCCGCGCTCTCCGCCGCCGCCGAGGA